AGTCTATGACTAAGTAACAAGGTGGTGTTTTACTGTAGCACAGTCTGGTCTCTGTATGATTTGAAAGGTGAGGAACGGAGGCCACTCTATGACCTTCTGAATTATTATACAATTATTATATTATAAGTTGGAGTTGGTTTGTCAGAGGTCAGATAAATAAAGATTTTATATGTGCAGGCACTAATACAATTACATTATAAGGAGTCTAAATAGCCAAGAAGTAAGTTGATGCTGCAAAAAGAGGCACCCCCTCCAGTGTGCAAAGATAGCAGAGCATTAGAAGAAAAAGTGGTTGAAGGAGATTCAGCACTTTCAACCCAGTGCTGCGGCTGTGCTGCCTGTTGTCCTACCTCCATCTCTTACCTCAGTCCCAGGTGGCTGCAGATCTTTGCACTAAGAGCAAAGGGTCACTGAGGGTTGGGGATGCTGCTCAGGCTAAAGAAAAAAAAAATCATGAAAAAGCTCTCTGGGCCCTAAAAATATTTTGGCAAGTGGGGGAGGGGGAACCCCTTCCAGCCTGCCTCTGGCTCCAGCAGACTCTCCTCTGCCCTCTAGAACATGGAGGCAGCTGTCAATGAGAGGTAAGGATCTGGGGATAGGAATGGTCTCCCTTTTTAAAACCCAACAGATACTTCATTGGGGCAGGAAAACACCTGTTGCTAAGGCCAGACAAGACCCACTAGAGCAATACCTCACAGACATAAATGCACAGGAAGACCAACAATCACATGAGAGAAACAACCACACCTGGCAGTGGTTGGAAGACCGATGCCTGAAACACAAAAACCACAGTGTCTTCAGTCAGACTTTGAGGCTCTGGGGCAAAAGTCGGAGTCAAAAGCAGTAGGGACTGCTTCTGCTGGAGCAACAGAGGAGGCTTGCATGCAAACAAAGAGGCATCACCTCTGTGGGAGCCCAGCTGTGGCTTCCACATCCAGGATCCAGAGACCCCTGGCCCCTGACTATAGCCTGAGGCCACAGCAAGGGAGAAACAAAACTACATATAATCTAGAGAGCTCAATTTACAGGAAAAATGGAATAAAATAAAGCATACCTTTAAAATAAAGATGAGAAGAAGATCACCATTAAACAGGGACGAGAGGTGGGAGGGAAAGGGAGAGAGAAGGGAAATTGCATGGAAATGGAAGGAGACCCTCATTGTTATACAAAATTACATATAATTTTGTAATTAATCAAACCCACCTTCAATGGCATAAGATGTGATCAACTGCTCTGTACATACAGGTAACCCCAGAAATAGGCTGAAATTGAGTCCTTACAGCATTGTATATGGGAGACCCTACCTGGTATCTTGGGGAAGAGGATGAATGTGACTAGAGCAGGAAAAAACTAGATTAAAACTGTAAGACAGTTAAATATGGACTGCTGTGCATGAGTGTGCTTCTTCCAGGTCCCCACCAAGTTTCAAATCCCCTTTCCGTTCTTTCCAGAAAAGTCTGGGGGTGGGGGGCAGGGAGACAGCAACAGGTAAAAACCTCCCATTCCAGGAACCTCCTTAATCATCCATTCCCAGAAAGAAGCAGCTTTGAGATGGCATTGCCCATTTTTTCCATAAAAATGGAAGGTACAGATTAATAGAGGGGAAAATGTAACTGGGGACTACTTCACATAAAGGGGTCCACTTCATGATTTGATTGTAAACCTTGATGCTCAACCACTGGCAGCTTACTTTCAAGCTGCCATTTTTATTTTATTTTATTTTTTCATTTTTTAATTTTGTTATCTTCTCCCCCACTTAGCTGCTAGGAAAACGAGATGAACATTCTTCATTTCCTAAGTGGAGTTTTCTGTCCTCCACTTACTACCCACCTGAACAAGAAACTCCAGACCTGGAAATGGGAAACAGCTCTCTTCAGGATAGAGTTCATGAATTCCAACTATTAATAATATCTGGAAAACAGTCCTTGCATTCCCCTGTTTAAACCTCTCTGTTCCCCATGGCAACTAGAGCTGCAGTCTGGGTGGCAGGAGTCCCCCGCCTTACTCCTTTACTGGAAAAGCAATACAACTTTCCTGTTTCTCAAAGCCCTGACCTCATTATTTGATTGATATCAGGGACAGGGACTGAATTTTCGGTATCTCCTTTACCTGGGGCAGTAAGGTGAGTAAATGTGGATTAGTAGAGGTGATAGCAGGGTAGCAGGGAACCTTAAAATCTTGGGATGTTTAGTTAAAGTAGATCGGAAGCCACTTATTTCGACAGAGAGAAGCTTTGTGATAATATGACATGAAAATAAGTCAGTGAAAACTAAGGAAATAAAACAGAAAAGAATACCATGACTGCTTAAAAGCCTGGAAAGCCTATCTGATAGCCACGCCCACCACAAAATGGGGATCAGAGAAATGCAAATCAAAACTACTCTAAGATCATCTCACTCAAGTCAGAATGGCAGCTATTATGAAGACAAACAACAATGAGTATTGGACAGGATGTGGGGAAAAAGGCACACTCATACATTACTGGTGAGACTGCAAGTTGGTACAGCCAATAGGAAAACAGTATGGAGATTCCTTGGAAATCTGGGAATGGAACCACCATTTGACCCAGCTATTCCTCTCCTTGGAAGATACCCAAAGGACTTAAAAACAGCATACTACAGGGACACAGCCACATCAATGTTTATAACAGCACAGTTCACAATAGCTAAACTATGGAGCCAACCTAGATGCCTTTCAGTGGATTAAAAACAAAGTGGCATATATACACAGTGGAATTTTACTCAGCAATAAAAGAGAAAAAAATCATGGCATTTTCAGGTAAATGGATGGCATTGGCGAAGATAACGCTAAGTGAAGTTAGCCGATCCCAAAAAACAAATGCCGAACGTTTTCTCTGATATAAGGAGGCTGATTCATAGTGGGGTAAGGAGGGGAGCATGAGGGGATTAGATGAATTCTAGGTAGGGAAGAGGGGAGGGAGGGAAAGGGAGGAGGTAGGGGATTAGCAAAGATGGTGGAATGTGATGGACATCATTATTCAAAGTACATGTATGAAGACTTGAATTGGGTGTCAACCTACTTTATATACAAAGAGAGATATGAAAAATTGTGGTATATATGTGTAATAAGAACTGTAATGCAAAAAAGTACATGTATAAAGACATGAATTGGCGTGAACATACTTTATATACAAATATATGACAAAATTGTGCTCTATATGTGTAATAAGAATTGGAATGCATTCCAAAGTTGTATATTAAAAAAATAAAATCAAATAAATAAAGCCTTGAAAACAAGGCTGATGATATTTCCCTTCAACCTAGAGACAGCTGTGTGGCCATATTAAGAACTCAGGACAAACCAGGAAGCCAGTCTTCCAGGGGCATCAGGCCTGCTGGTGACTTGGTGTTACTTAACAGACTCTGAAACTGTGAGAAACTGTGTAAGGTGCTCTGTAAGGCACCCGACTTTGGTATTGTTGCAGCAGCCTGAGCTGAGACACTGTGTTCTCTTCACCTGCCTCTGAGGCTGCATTTCTCCCATTTAGTCCTGATCCATGTACTCCAATGTGTCTGTGCTCAGAGCCCAGTCAGTCTTTCCAATTGTTCCATAACAGATCTGCATGGGAATCCTGTGTAGGGACTCCCACTGCAAACCGTCTTTGGATGATTTATGGAAGATCAAGATTGGAGAGGATAGGTAGAGAGGAACTAAGGCAGAGGGTATGGGGTGTACTCGGAGTACGGAAGGGGACAGATCACACCTCTAAGAACAGAACCTCTGGGACCTCATTGTAATATCTCTATTTTCTGAACACCTATCCACATTTGTACATTCTTTGGCCTCTAGTTCTAATTAATATCTAAATCAGGCTGGGAATTGGGGGTCTGGGGGTAGGAGGGGGACTCCGATTGTCCCCATAGGCCATGCTTCCTATAGCAATCATCTTCCAGTTGGAAAACAAGTGGATCTTAGAGAATTGGAACTTATATGTGGGTGAATCCTGAAAAAGATGCAAGAAAACTGAGAAGTTAAAAAAATAAAATCTGGGCTGGGGTATTAGTTCAGTGGTAGAGCACTTGCCTAGCATATGTGAGGCACTGGGTTTGATCCTTAGCACCACATAAAAATAAATGAATAAAATAAAGGTATTGTGTCCACTGACAACTAAAAAAAAAATGTTTAAAAAACTCTGCCATGTGCGGTGGTACAGGCCTGTAATTCTAAGTACTCAGGAGGCTGTGGTAGGGAGATCACAAGTTCCAGGTCAGGCTGTCCAATTTAGCAAGGCCCTGTCTCAAAATAAAAGATAAAAAGGGCTTGGAATGTAGCTCAGTAGGAGAGCATCCTGGGTTCAATCTCCAGTGCCCAAACAAAACAAATACTACACCTAGAAGACTACTTTTTCTAGATTCACCCCCCCCGCCCATGTGTCAGAAGGATTGAAGGATAAAAGGAAGACCCAGCCTCTGCCACACAGCAGCAATGCACTGGGTTAAGGCGTGAGCTCCACTGCGGCTTTACTGTGACCTGTTCCAGTGTCTTTGGGCAATTGATTTTAAAACCCTGTGGTTTAGTATTATTGTTTGTTAAGTTATGAACATATTATCTATCATAAATAATCCATACCCTAATGTGTATCATTGCAAAATCATAGTAAACATGTAGCTGATATACTAATAAAGTTGTTTATAATTATTTGCAATAAATGTGATGGTAATAATGAATTTATTTATCTTTATAGGATTGATGTCAGAGTATACTGTACAGTAGGTGATCAGTAAATATATATTTGTATGTTATATTGGTTTTTATTGAATGAGTAAACAACCTTCAAATTCTCGCCATACAATAGTTCAGCTCTTTGCCCATCTTCCTACCTAGTAAAAAGTTTTAAAAGAAAGCTAATCAATTTCAAGCAAAGAAAATTCTTGGAAAGATGAAATGTGGAACACAGTGTTTTTGTTCAGATAAGGATTTTTGGTGCTGAAGGAAGGTGAAGTAGATAGCAGGAGTGCATTATGAAGAGATAAAGGTGTTTAGTTGGCAGCAATTGTCTGCTGAATCCAATTCACGTATTTGCAGACCTTGGTGTAGACACCGGGTTTGCCCTTCAGAGCACAGCCATATCCCCAGGACACAACACCCTGGAGTTCACCATTGCACACCACAGGGCCACCAGAATCACCCTGGAGTAGAAGGAGAAGCAGAATTCTGGTTATATACACATGGGAGAATGGGCTCCTGGATAATCCTCCATAATATAGGGGCTATTTTCAGGGGCTGCTGATCTCCCAGGAAGCACCTTCTCTCCCCCTGAAGATTCCACCCTCATTCTTCTATCTCTATCCCTATTGTTCTTCCTCCTTCTTTACTGCCTGCTCCTTGTCTTTCTTTGTGGATCCATTGCACCAAGAACATGTGGGGACTGGAAGTATAAACATGTTTGATGCACAGAGTGTTCCCTTTTCCAGCATCACAGAGTTTCAGATAGATTGAATCAAGCCAGAAGAAGCCAGCAGCCTGCTCCTCTCGAAGGGTCCACGGCAGATACACCTCCTCAGAAGAATGCCGGAAAAGCAGCGAACACCTACTTTTGTGTATCTTTTTACCCTGAACACCAACCTTCATTATCACAAACAGAAAATGTATAACTTATCTCAAAGCTTTCTTCATATATCATGATGGATTTTGAGTGGACAATTTTACAATCCTCTGAGTTTCAGAGAAGGAGAAACATGGTGGAGAAGAGAGACTGATCTGGATGAAGCAGGAGTAGGAGACACTCACCTGGCAAGAGTCCTTTCCCCCCTCCAGGAAGCCCAGGCAGAACATGTTGCTAGTGATCTTGCCTGGGTAGGCATTGCGGCAAGAAGTGTCAGAGAGCACAGGGGCATCCAGACACTGCAGGAGGGAAGGATACTTGGCTGTGGAATGCAAGAGTGAAAATGGAAGAAGATTACACACTGTAAATTTCTTTGCCACTGTCTCTTCTCATACTTTTTTTTTTTCAATATTCCAAAGACTTGTAATTTGAGAGACTTTTTCTCTGGCATCAGAGGCCACAGACCTCAAGTGCAGAGCCTGCTTGCTCAAGCAGGTATATACTTCAGGCAGCACAGAACCTATGGCCTCTGTTCCCATTATCTCCTCTATCTCTGGCTCTCTGAACATCACTAATCACACTTCAGATAAATGTCTTGACATTTTATAGTTGTTTTTATCTTGTCCATGTTCTCAGAAAAAGGAATCTTCCTTATTTTACCTAATACATTGTAAGGCTGCATGCATCCTATCCTCTTTAGCTTTGCCTTGAGTCAAAATCCATACTATCTACCCTCAACATGTCTTTAACTCTACTGTCCTCAACCCTGGTGCTTGTGTTCCAACACTTACTTCCACTGCTCAAAGTGTTGCCCCAGCCAGACACGAGGCACTGAGTCCCAGCAGATGGACAGGATCTCGGCAGGGAGACAGCAGACACTCGAGAGTTGATGGTGGCAGGGGAGCTCAGTTTGATCAGCATGATGTCGTTATCGTAGGTGTTCTTATTGTAGCTGGGGTGCTGGATGATCTTGGCTGCCTGAATGAACTGCTCGTCCCCCTCGACAACATCAATGTTGTGTTCTCCCAGACGCACCTGTATCCGGCTGGATTCAAGGATTCAAAGTGTCCAGCTTGAGCTTCTTCCTCTTATTTCAACCCCCAAATGATGACCAGGAACACAAACAGCATTCTCATCAAGCATTTGACCCCATGGGTAATTGTGTACCAAAGGCAGCATTATATACCACCACACACAGTGCAGGTTAGAGAGGTCCCTAGGCCAGTGTCATCCCAACTAGCGCCTCACAGTCCCCCATCACTTTAGAACCGTGAGGGACAGGCATGGGACGAATGGGTCCAAAGACAGATGGTACTGAAAAGGGAATCCTCCTCTGTTTAGTATTATCAAATATCATAGGAAGATGAGGCAGGAATCACGATAAGGCAGGATATAATGACAGCAGGATGTGCTTATTTTATGCTGAAATGTGGTGCTTTCATCACCCCCAGGTGCCATAGCTTCCTTGAGCTGTGATGGTGAGGACCATGTGCTCATTCATCATGCTTCACCAGCCACTGTGTCCCCTCCACATCTTTACCATCATTTAGAAACACACCAGGAAGCCCTAAGATACCACTCCATGTAAAAGTCCTTTAACACATTGTATAATTCTGAGTGAATAATCAGGCTCTCTGGGTCTGAATGCTTTGTCCATCAGGTATAACTAGTCAATCTGTTTGTGCTTCCCTGGGCTAGAGGATAAACTGATATTAGGAATGTAATACAGGTCACTTACGACTTGTAGCAGTGAGCCGCAGAGACCACCCACTGGGAACTGATGAGGGAGCCACCACAGTTGTGGTAACCAACATTCAGCGACACCTGGTAGGGCAGGGAGTTCTTCCGACAGGTGTAGCCCCCAACAATCTTGTCATCGTCATCATTAGTAGGAAAAGCAACTGACAAGGAAAAGTTAAACTCTGTTAAAAATATCCATCTTGTAATTTCTACCCCACCATAAAGATTTTGCAAACCAACCAGAAAAGAGATGACAATGTTCTCCTATCTGTCATGATTAGGAAAGTATTATATGGGATTTTTTTTAAATTTACTTTTCATACTCTAACATACCCTTCTTACATCACTATTAAAAAACATCTAGTAGCTGAGTGTGGTGGTGCATACCTGTAACCTCAGCGACTCAGGAGGCTGAGGCTTAAGGATTGTGAATTCAAAGCCAGACTCAGCAAAAGTGGGGTGCAAAGCAACTCAGTGAGACCCTGTCTCTAAGTAAAAATGCAAAATAAGGCTGAGGATGTGGCTTAGTGGTCGAGTGGCTCTGAGTTTAATGCCTCCCCAATTGCTAGGTTTCTATTTGTGATTTACTTGTGATAAATATGTTCTTACATGTGTGCCTTACACACACACACACACACACACACACACACAGTCCAAACACTCACAAAGGTAAGAGGTTTTTAACATAATAAATGCCTGACCACTACTATTGAGGATATGAGAACTGTTTTTACACAGAACCCTGCTTTGTACTCATGCAAATAAGAAGAAAACATTGCTATAATCTTGCTGGTGTGCATTCGTGGTGTTTAATGGGGTGTTTGTGATGCATAGCTTTCTCTGTAAAGAAGCAGAAAGGAGGCTTTTAGGAGCCATCCTGAGATGAACCTGGCCTGGAAGGAAATGTCCACTTGTTTGTATCTTCATTCACTTGTTTTCTGTCTTTAGTCTATCCATAAATCACTTTCCACAACTTCTCCACTATCCCATTTATCTTTACAATGTCTATCAATGTATTCAGCACAGACATGGCCCACTGATCTGTCAAGATTTCTCACAGCTTCAAAATTCTGTTGTTCTATCACAGGAGCCCTGTTTTCTCAGTATTTGAAAATAAGTTTATGATAGAATGTTCCAGGCATATATACAGGTGTATTGGATTTATACCTGTTCTATGTGGGTAGAGTAATTGAGTTTAATTAATATCAAAATAGTATTACTACTATCAAAATAGAAGTAGTCATCTCTATTTTCTCTCAATTTAATAACATTTGACTTTATATCAGAGATGACATTAGGAAAGCTATCATAAAATCAAATCAAAGGTTTTATTCTGAAATAATATACCTTTGCTGTTAGATGTTGGATATAAATAGCTCTTTAGTAAACAGGTGACCCAACCTCTGATGTTCACAGCCTTTTCAAGAAGCACGGATTAGTTTCAGATGTTAACTCCAAATTCTTAGAGGTCAAGACAAGCACTCCTTTCATGTAGACTCTCCTTTCCCTTTCTCTCCTTCTTCACAGAATTTGCCTGGAAGTTCAGGACAAGTTTGGCCTGCCTATGCCTTCTGCTCTGAACCCCTCATAACTTCAATGACCCTCCTCAGACAAGTATCTCATTATCCTAAACCCATGTGCCTGACCCTCCTGTTTTGACATTTCACCCTTCCAGAGTACAGAGCCTGCATCTAGCATTCATGGTTGCTTTCCTGAGCACAAGGCAATCACACAGAGAGGATCGACACCTGCTGACTGTTCCTTAAGAAGACTCACCAGCAGCTCCCAGGAGAGCAAGGAGAATGAAGGTCTTCATGGCTGCTCACTGAGTCTGGACCAGGAATGAAATGGAGGCTTTCCACCCACAGGTATTTATACCTACAGTTTGTCATTGACACCCATGGCCACAGGAGCCAGGAAAATGATTTCACTGGAAACTCACATATCTAAATTTAGGTTCGCTTCTGTGGCACATGAAAGGTGATTTAGCACCAAACTTAAACATCAAAAATTTTCCATTTTTCCCGAAGGTTATGGGAATGGAGGTCACAAACTCACCTGCTGGAGCCTGTTCCCCATAACAGGTAAACATGTTAGAATAAGGTCACAGGGGAGAGCTCCAGGTTTCTGCATTCCCACAGAAAAATCTTAGGTCCTTGGTTGTCTCAAGTGTGAACGTTTGTACTAAGGAATATCTGGAACCCTGCACCCAAGATGTTTAATTAACATTGGCTCTTGCACACTTAGATAGTTGTCTTTTTTTTTTCCCTGCTGAAGATTGAATGCAGGTACTTGGGAATATTAGGCAAACATTTAACATGGGGCTATGTCCCCAGTCCTTACTTAGTCTTATATTAGTCCTGATCTTGTATATTCATGGTTATTATTCATTTTGAGGATTGAATGTTTGTGTGGGCTCTCTATCGTCCAGTGAGGAGGTCCACGGAACAGGGTAAGAGGAGAGTGTGGCTGTGGAGTCACTAATCAAGACCTCCAGGGACCAAGCTGGAAGCAGGTCTGATTTTATTGTGTAGTTACCATGTATGTATACTCAGGCAGTAGCTAAGCAGATTATAGGCAGCCACCAATACAATTTCTGGCCAACTGTCCTTGTAGCAACCAATCGAGTGGGCTCATGTTCAGGGTGCTGTTGGGTAAGCGGCCTATTGCTCACACACCTAGCACAAGTGGAGTGGTTTGCCACTCAGGCGCCCTTAACGTATGCCATGTATGCAGTACTCCATGCACCTGGCCCCACAAATGTTATCCTGAGAATAGGAAAATTTTGATAGATTAAAAACGGTAGAAAAAAGGAAAAAATCTGAAACTTGCTGTATGTCCAAGATACAACACTACCCCCAGATGTGAAGATTTGTTTCAATCAGGGACCAAAAAACATTAAAAGGAAAATTCTAGAAATAAGAGTTCATAAATTTTTTAAAATTTATTATATTATATTGCTGTATCTGTTTTATTTTATTAATAGATATTAGTGTTAAACGTACACTATGCCTCATTAATAAATTAAGCTCTATCTTAGATATAGGTATGGAAAAAATTATATATAGGATTTGGTACTAAATTAAGCTTTATCTTAGATATTTAGGTATAGAAAAAATACTATATATATAATTTGGTACTATCTGCAGTTTTAGGCATCCCCTAAAGAGTCGAAATGTTTCCCTCATGTATAAGGGGGAACTTTCTACAGGTATCTATTGTCAACCTACTTATTCCCTCTGGTGGGAAAGGTAACAAAGGTATGGAGACTTAACCAACACCTCCCAGCAAGCACCTAACAGGATCAGCATTCCAACCCTGCAATGTGCTTTCAGACGCTCTCTTACCAAGGTAATGGGGAGCTCTTGGTAGACGAGGATGGATGTGAAGTGCATGGAGAGTTTCCGATGACTCAGGCATTGGGGACAAAGTGTCCATGCATTGACTCTTTCAGTCCTCATGATATCAAAAGCTCTGTCCTTGTCCCCCAGGACAGGGCATTGAGAAAAAAGAAAAATAACTTTTATTGCTTTGCTGGCCAAAGAGAAAGCCAATAGGCTCATGGCACTGAGGCTGCATTCTAAGTGCCAGGGGGATGGAGGGCTTTAACAAGGGGAACGCAGGGCTGGCTTCCCAATTGTACCTGTAGATGGGATTAATATTCAACTTTTCCCATTCCAGGTCTGGAGTTTCTTTGTTCAGGTGGGCAAAAAAAAAAAAAAATGAAGGACAGATGACTCCACTTAACACAGGACAAACGTTCATCTCTTTTCCCCTGAAGTGAAGGAGAAAAGGAAAGAAAAAAATCAGTTTTAAAATAAGCTGCCAGTGGTTGAGCAACAAGGTTTAGATTCAAACATAAAGTGGACCCCTGTTACATGAAAGGGACCCCTGTTACACTCACAGATAACACTATAAAGAGGTAACCATCTGAGGTTGGGGGTAACTGTTGTGCTATTATTTTCACCATTTAGGAGACTGTGGGGAGAGGCTTAGAGAAATCAAATGTTTTTGCAGAGTCTGATAGTTATTATGTCAATCCAGGCTTCAATGCCAGGAAACTCATTTCAGTATTCATGTTCTCAACTATGATGCCATAGACCTTATTAATAAGGGCTACAATCTGAGCTCTACCAAATTGAGGGCTAAAGCAAATTCTGGAAAATCCACAGATAGGTTCTTGGAGCTGGAATTATAAGAAACTTAATGACATGGCACAAGTATCTAGAGTGAGTGAATTTCAAGAACGAACTTCTCACTAGACACAACTGTCAGATTCCACATCTCTACAATAAACCTGAAATCTCCATCCAAGATATTATTTCTACTCAAGCAAATTATCACTCTGGATGCTGTTGTTTTTTTTTTTATTGTTTGGGTGAGATTTATTTTCATTCGAAATTGTGTAGCTTTGAAGACAACTTAGTCAAAGAAGGAGATTCTCAATTGGAACATTCTTGAAATTTGGGGTCAGACTCTATACATATTCAATCTATAGCAACCTTCATATAAAGCTTTGATAACTAATTAAGATTTCATCTGTGAATTTTATTATAAATGTATATGCATATGTAAAATCACCATGGATGATTGGTATAATATTAGAGGTCATATAATAGCAGCAGGTTATTTTTTGTGAAGGAATTTGTGCCTCAATGTGAAAAGACTAAAGCACAGTTGCCTTGTTCTATAAAAGTTTGAACTTGTGAAAAAAAAAATGGAGAAACAAAGGAATCTTTGAAACTCTAAATCCCTACTGGGATCTGGAAATACCATAGTCTATGTAGGATTGAAAAAGATGGTGTGTGACTGGGATATTTGGAACAAACGAGTATCTCTAATACTGAAGGCTTTGGAATTTGTATCCTTTTAAGAGTTTGACTTTCTAAATTGAGTTTTAAAAGTAAGACTAAAATAATACTAACACAATAAATATTTTTATTTTAAAATCCATTTAAAATACTAGTTACTTTGTGTGCACATCTGAAATTCCAGTGACTTGGGAGACTGATGCAGGAGGATTGAAAATTTAAAGTCTGCCTGAGCTACTTAGGGATACCCTGTCTCAAAATAAAAATTAAAAATGGCTGGAGATGTAGCTCAGTGATGGAACAACTTGGGTTCAATTCCCAGTATTGCAATAAAAATTTAAATAAAAAAAGAAAGAAATTTAAAAATGGGTTGGAAATGTAGAGCAGTGTTAGAAAACTTCTGGGTTCTATTCAAAGTACTGCAAAGAAAAAAAGTACTAGTGATTTGCCATAAAATATGCTCATAGTTTCCATTTAAATAATGAGTTATGTAAGATTTCCAGGGGAAGAAAGGCTTGAGCTTGTCTTATTAAAGCAAATTTTCTTAGATAAACTGTTCTTGAGCACATATTGAGGTTACTGCTTGATTATGGGAGAACTAACAACTAGATTATGGAGTGTACCCAGTTGAAATAAAGTAAGTTTTTCCCAGCTGATATACTCTAAAAGAAAAAATAAATGTATTTTCATAGGTAGCTAAGCTTCTAAGTAGAGATAGCACTTCATTTTAAAAAGTTATAAATGTTATAACCATGAGTTTAACAGTTACGGTTTATCTTCCTCAAGTTTCCATTATCTGTACTATAATTAGACATAGCAAGTATAAAGCTTGACCCTATGCAGTTACCCCCCTACCTCAGATGGCTACCTCTTTACATGTCCTTATATCTGCCATAGAGATGCCATGCTTCCCTGGATCTCATTCAATCATGCATTAGAAATATATTTATAGCTACACGTATGAGTGATCTCCTCTGACTCTTTAGAGTGACTATTTTAAACAGAAGTACATTTTGATAGGGCCTTGATAAATCTTTTTTGGTTTTACATTAGAAGGAGGTCCATGCTTTCCAAGCACCCGACCCTTTATCTAGTTTCTTTTTCTTTACAACTAACACATAGATCAGCATTATATTCTATTTATTCTTTGTCTATTTACCAATCAGAATATATTTGATTGGGCAGGGTTTGGAATATTTGTTTCACTACTACATCCTTGGTGCATAAAACAGACTCAGGAATACCACAGACCTTCAATAAAGTACTTGACAAGTACTACTTATTGGATAAATTAGGAGAATTCTTACATTTTCTCCACTGAAGGTAATGTCATATATATTTAGTCAATCCTGTATCAATGGCTGTTTGGGTTGTTTCTGGGCTAGATATGTAAAGCATTCATGAACATAGATGACTACTCTAATAGAAATTGTTTTTGCATCTTGACATCTGCTCCTTCTCTTGGCAACAGTTCTATCATCATTTAGTTAACTAAATTTAAAAAGCTGGTGCCTCAAGTCTGTGGGGGGACCTCATATTCAAGAAGCCACATATCAGAGATATTTTTAAAATATGGCATCTGTACTGAATAGGTACAGATTTATCTTTCTTATCATTATTCCTTATTCAATAAGGCATGAGAATTCAATCATGCATTAGAAATATATTTATAGCTACACGTATGGGCCATCATTAAGTTTAAATGAAAAACAACTGTTCACATAGTGTTTCCATTACTTATTAAGTATGGAATTAGGGACCATAATTACTGTAGGTAGAATTTAAAGTTTATAGAAGAACATTCACAGGTTGTATGCAAATACCTCCCCAGTTTATGCAAAGAACTTGAGTATATGCAGATTTTAGTGTCCATGGGGAGTCCTTGAAGTAACTCCTCATGGCTACCAAGGGAAGAGAGAATGTCATCCTTTTTGCACAATGAGAACTCTACCCCTTACTCTGGGCTCTGTCATATAGCTTAATTATAAAGTAATCAGCATAATTT